CTAAACATATTTGATGAATTTAAGCAGACACATGTTAAAAATTAACATGTTTGTTAATTTGAAAACGTGTAGGTATTAAAAAATAAGGACACATCTTCTGCAGGTTAACCATTTAACGTGACTCTCCAAAATCTATTACAATTTTTTCTCTAGTATTCTAGAACTGCTAAAATAACTTGAAAGTTAATGCATGATTTGTTATATTTGCCTTGTAATTTTTAGAATGAAAACAAGCACACTTTTTTAAAAAAGATATACTTTCTGTATTGAACCTAATATTCTCTTTCTGTGTTGATAATTTTTTAACAGCAATATCACTGGAACAAATTTATTATATATAATACACTGATACCTCCCACTGTAGACGAGTGAGTGAGTAGCCTGTTCCCATTAGAGGTGGTCCTCCTCCATCGCTTGAGGGCAGATTTGAGAACTGAACACACACACACACACTCGTGCGCGAAAGGCCAACAAATATGTATTATTCTGAGTCTGATCAGTGTATGCTGTTTCTATTGCATTTACCTGTGACTATTAATTGTTCCTGAATATGATAGTGGGCACTGTGAGTGTGAATCCAAAATAATACTTGTACTTTTTTTAATCGACCAGCCGAAAGACACTATACTTGGAACTAATGTTTCTAGCCAGTGTACTATAGGGGCGTTACTCTTTTCTAATTTCATGTTGCTTTCTTAATCTGTTCCACCATATGAATATTTACAATTACATTTCCGTTTCATGTTTTCAGCTTCTAAAAGTTTTGGTTAATCGCAAGGGATCAGGACATCAGGTTGAAGGGAGCCAGACTCTTGTACTAAGAATCCGCAAGTGTAGATATATTTATACCTAATTTTTAGTGTTTTCATCAATGCTTAGCACTTGGATTGAGCCCAAAGGTACCTATGGTTCACTGGCGAGTATGAGAGGCACAGACAGAGTTCAATAAATATTTCTCAGAAAGTTTGCTGAGAATCTGCAAGTAGCAGTTTGTGGAAGAAGATACGCAATATACTAAGGCACTTCTTTTGTTAAAGAACTCGAAGACGTTTTAAATGTATTGTATCGCACGCTTTGCGTCTTTCTGGTTACTATCAATGCTTATTGCTAAATCTTATGGGGGGTATGCCATCGCCCTTTCGTCTTCCTCTACGTTTTATTTCATGGTGTAGTTTCTCGGTTGATCTTCGGAGTTTTATGATCTCGGACATGTTCCTAGGGAAATTATTGTCGAGTGTTGCGACGTTACGCTTGCCTCTGCAGATTCACTTCCTGGGATGGAAAGGAATACACAACTATATATTCATCATACGCGTGCTGCACTTGGACCTTGCTAATGATTTGCTATGGTTATCCACAATGGTGTTACTGTTGATGTTTGTGAGTACTGAGTACATTCTTTGGCAGAAATACAGGACAGCCCCATCGCAAGTGACACCCAATACACACGCAGGCAAAACAGCTGTCATTATGCCGTTTAGGAAGACTCTGTTCTTTTAAATAAACCGGTGACCTTCGTATGTAAATAATTCCATACGATCTTCCTAACTTGTTTAATTACTCTCTCCTGTCCTTGTCCTGTGTACAGACCACAGAATCATTTTACCTAATTCACGAAAATTTAGAAAAGAAGTTAAGTTGGTTGTTTACAATTAATTTGTAAGAAAATCGTGATAATTTTTGAGCTACCGCTGCAATTAATTCACTATATTTTTACTCTTTTCCACTGACTAGAGAAAATGGAACAGTAATTAAGGATATTATGAAATAAAATGCTATTTAATATAGTGAATACAAGTGTATTGGGCCTTATATTAACTATCAAGGACCGAGGGCAGATATGTATATGAAAATATTAATAAACTGATTTCTCATAATCTCAATAGTTGACCCTTATCCTCCCTTAAAAAAAAAAAAAAGGTCGACACTTTAAAAAAGATACATTACCTTCACAATGTTGACTGGGTTTGAAAGACTCGATTCCTGTCACGTAAGAGACTGAATGTTAATGCCCATTCACATCGTGTTTGACCTGGAAGGGTACGGACAACCGTGTCGGTGTGTTACTTTTTTTTTTTTTTTGGCACCAAGTGTGTTACTTTTATTTGAATAAGACAGGAAACACTTTCATTCGGAGAGAAATAAAAAGCAAAACCAGTACACAGCCAATTAAGGAAAATGTTACTGCTAGTAGTCGTAATTACCCAAAAGAAAAAAAAAACGGATAAATATATTAATGTAATCGTCATAATACCTAATGGTAAATCAAGACACATAGGAATAGAGTGCTAAGTCCAATGTAAGTCTGGCATCGGCTAGGCCCATTAGAAGGCCCAGAATGACACTCAATGTAAGCGTGGACCGAAGTTTAGTTTGCAAACCCCACCTACGTAAATATGGAATCGATGTCGATTGGGCCGATGGAAGCCATATCCAGGCCCATGAAGAGCACATTACCTTCGGTTAAAAAAAATGGTTTTTTGGGGTTAGCCAAAAAAAAAAAAGGAATGTCTTTTGGGGCTTAAATGAAAAATAATAAAAACGACATTTTTTTCGTATTAAAGAATGAATATACAATATATATATTTTTTTAACTTTCAGTCCAAAAAAACATGGGGCCAGAAAATCGTCACATTTTCACTGAGTTAAAACGATTCTTTCCCAACCACCGGGTTAAAAAGATGGCCATTGAGCTAATAGTGATTGAGTAAAAGAAATGCAACTTTTCTTACACGGGAGAAATACGGCTACAAGATGTTTAAATATGACGTAGTAATAAAAATAAGTGCTAGATAATTTTGTATGAAAATGATATGTCTTAATAAACTAACAGTGATATCAGTATAATTCATGTATTCCGATGACAATGTTAAGCATTATTTATTTTTTTTTAGTTACTTAAGATATTTCTACAACCGGCATGGTGACCGCCATATGATTAATCTCTCAAAAAATTTGAATGTCATTTAAGGATTGTTTTCTCTCAAAAAATGAATCTTAAAATAATGTTTAAGAGGCCCAAACTACTAACAATAATATGTTAAACATTATTATGGCTTATAAGGCTTCAAAATCATTTTTTTAAAAAAACCATTTGATATAATAAAAAATAACGCAGGTGTTTGATATTTTATTATTTTTGTAATTAAATGTTATACTTTTTTATGACATACATGCATCTAATAAGGGAAAAATGATAGTGCTTATAATTTAATAAATTATAATTTTATTTTAAAACACATAATTGTAGATGCAGGAATTGAGGAGAGAGAGATACGCTTGATTTGTTTGGTTCAGAATAAATAACATTGAAATTGTCAGAAATACATTTGTCATAAATTTAATATAATTTTTTGTTATATTCTTTTTTTATTGTAGGAGAATTTATGGTCATTTTTAAATTGAATATGAGAGTTGCTTGATTTGAATATCTCCATTCCACTCAAAGAATAATTTGTGTACATATTTACTCTTTTTTTTTTTCCTTCTCTTACTAATGTCTTAAATTTTTAATGCAGCAGTTGATATAAATTTTTGACAAGAAAAATACATATATAAAAGACAAATTCTTAAATAAAGTAGGCGCATCACATTATTTATAATTTATCACATTTCAAGTCATTTAAATAAAATTTTATGTAATATTATTTTAATTAATTTTATTCTGATAACAGAATGAATATTTACTTTCTCACATTTTCTATAGAGTATCATCAATGTTAAAGTTAATTTATATTTAATATCACTTGAATATCGTGTTTTATTATACAAGCAATAAATAAAATGACACACCTCATTTATTTAAAAAAATTTTATACAAGAAATTGCAAAAGTTGTAAGAAATTAGTGTAATAACGAGTAGATGTGCAAATTTGGGTGGGCTAGGAGAGTCCAGGCTCAACTCAAACAGGCCCAAATCCAAATATATTTAATTTTAAAGTCTAAATAATCAAGTTCAGCTCGAATTTTTTTGAATTTTGAGTGGCTCGAATATTTGAATTTTATATTTAAAATTATTTTTATTAAATTTTGTTACTTTAAAATTAATTATTTTATTTTATAAAAAATATAAATATGTATTTTTTGGATATTCAAATGATGTATATGACCCAAACACATGGTATTTTAGTGTAAAATAACGTAAAAATGTTAGAGTTAATTAATATTTATTATATATTATATTTTTTTAAAATGTTATATTTTTTATTTGGGTATTTGAAGAAGCTCTTACTCTATGGGCCTTAGCCCAAACATAAAAAAAGTCATATTTTTCTTAAGCTAGTCTTAAGTTTTTTCAAGCAAATTTAAGTTAGCTCGAATTACCAATTTTAATAATAAGTAATGACTAACCAGTGAAAAGGTGCATTGCAAATAAGATATTTTCTCTATTTAAAAATGTAAAATATTTTTATCCAAATTTCACTCTTAATAAAAGCAGGTATTTATCTTTCAACTAATTCAATTTTTTATATTTACTTTTATTTAATAGGGTATTTTATTTTAAAATAAATATAGAGTGATTCATTCATTAAGGATATTTTTTTTTAAAAAATAATGATTTCATTTTAAAAAATTAAAAATATTTTATATTTTTTAATATTTAATACTTTAAAAAATATTTTATATTTTTCACCGGAAGTAGTAGGATGCATGACCTCTACTAATATCTAGCAAATTAATTTATTTAATCACATGTGCTGGCGGTGAAGAACCTTTGTCAGAGAAAAAAAAAATGTCAAGGAAAAGAGCGGGCAGATCCTAAAGTCCTTATCTGTAGCTGTCGGACAAGCAAATCCAATTTAATAATCTATTTTACCTTATCTAGCGCAAGCTGTAAGAAATAATAATCGCCAAATGCATCTTATCTGTTGAACGTAAATCCGACGGTCATGGCTTGTTATTACAGTTCCCTGTTAGATATATTGATTTCAAAATCCAACGGCTCAGATACCTTTGACTGTGATGTAAGAAGGTGGGGACTGCCAATTTGCCATTTAGAAGCGACTCGAGTCTCGAGAGGTGGCTGGCATTTCCGCTCCCTGGTTTGGCGCTCTCATCCTCATCTCGCAGTTCGGTCTTGAAGTTCGCTCTTGCTGTCCTGGTTTGAGCTTTCGGGAAGTTCCCGGTGTCTGCTTTATCTCTGGTTGACATCTGATTTTGTGTCTGCAACTCTGCTAGGGTTTTACTTTAGCTGCGATCTCTCCTCTAGCCGCTTCTTTTCCAATCGCGGCGTTTGGATTTTCAGTGCTTCTTCTACTGATTTTCTTTTCTAGGAATCATTTTGAGTAATATTTGGAGATTGGAACAAGGGCTCTGAGCTTCCTTGGACGCGGCACATTTTTCAGTTAGCGACCGGTAATTGTCCTTCTGGGGATTGGGTTCGTTTAGATTTGAGTTCTGTGGTCTTTCTGATTTTCTACGGCTGGCTTATAATTCCTTCATTGCTGGAAATTGTTCTACTAGTTCTAAGTGGAAGAATTATATTTGGGACTTAAGGATCGCTGGAAAGGACTAGCGTTTATCTGAAAACCTAGTATTTCTTAATGTTCAGTTTCACTCCATATTAGATTACAATAATTTTGATGCCAACCGTCTGTTGTATAATTTTACGCCCAAACTTGAAGAGCCTGATGCTTGAAAATCACCTTAATTTCCTTTCCTCTTTTAGTAAGTGTTCATTATATTATTGCGGGGTTTCAAGATATTATTAATAATAATATACTAAAAATTAAATTTTCTTTTCCGGGAATTTCTCAACAGTCAAGTTATTTCACCCCCCTTAAGTTATTTCTGGGACAAGCAGTAGCGGTGTTCATATTTCCATGATTGGTATTGGACGTTAATCTGAAGGCGACAGTCCCTGTCTAATGGTATAGTGGTTGAAATCTTGTGCATGACGATGGCAAAGAGTAGTAGGTACTCTGAAGGTTATTGTGGCAATGCAGTAGCGCCAGCTGGTGAGTCAGAGGGGTCTGGTAGCTCAGGACAAATTGACACTGAAATAACTGTTTCAGAGGACTCAAGCGTTCCCACTAGGAAATGTATTAGTTTAAATTCAAGCCACCGTGACCCCTTTGGTGTTCCCATGCAAGTTCTCCCCTTGTCTAAATTATCACCATTTGAAAGAAAAGATTTGGTACGTAGGTTGAGATCAGAGCTTGAACAGATTCGTCTACTCCAGAAAAAAGGTGAACTACAAAGAACAAATACTATTACATTGTCATCCTCTAGTGATATTCTTAGCTGTAATAACGGACAAAATGGACCCAGAATAGTGAACAATAAAAAACCATCTGTGTCCAATTCTGTATCAGGGAAGAAATTGAATCCAGCTGGTAACAAGTCGCGGGCATGGAACCGAGCCTCTACTGGGAAGTTTGCGTCTGCAGCACAGACTTGTTCGCCAAACACTGCAAATGCTATGCTGATGAAACAGTGTGAGGCATTGTTGAAACGTTTGATGAATCATCAGTATGCTTGGGTTTTCAACACCCCTGTAGATGTTGTGAAGTTGAATCTTCCAGATTATTTCACCATAATTAAGCATCCTATGGATTTGGGAACAGTAAAAGGCAAGATAACATCGGGAGCTTACTCAAGTCCATTGGAATTTGTTGCCGATGTAAGGACTACATTTTCAAATGCAATGACTTATAATCCCCCTGGAAATGATGTCCATATCATGGCTGACACCCTTAGTAAATATTTTGAAGTGAGATGGAAAGCAATTGAGAAGAAACTACCTAGAACTGATCCTCTTCCATTGCCAGAAAAATCAGACACTCTTGGAGCAGTGGAAACTGCTAGACCAATGCCTCCATCGAAGAAGAGGAAAATCACTTCATTGCCACTGAGTTCAGATGTGAGGCCACCTGCTAAGCGGATTATGACAGATGAAGAGAAGAACAGCTTAGGCAGAGAATTGGAGTCTTTGCTGGGAGAATTGCCTGTACATATCATTGATTTCTTGAAAGAAAAAAGTTTGAACGGCAGAGATTGTGGAGAGGAAGAGATTGAGATTGATATTGATGATCTGAGTGATGATACTTTGTTTACACTACGGAAGCTTTTGGATGACTATTTGCAAGAGAAGCAAAAGGATATTTCTAAAGCTGAACCATGTGAAATAGAGGTATTCAACCTCCCACATGACTCTTTGGCCCAAAATAAAAATAAAAATAATAATAATAATAACAACCTCCCACATGACTCCTTAGAAATTGTTTGTATGGCACTTTGTCTGATCTCACTTACATTTATCTAAATCTATTGTTGCAGCTGTTAAATGATTCTGGACCTAGCAATTCGTCATTGCAGCCTTTCAAAGGTTATACAAAGTGTCCGAATGTGTGGGCAAGTGCGTGTACTCTAAATTGGCTTTTCATTTAATTATTTTCTTCTTGTAGGTAATGACCTAGCTGATGAGGACGTAGAAATTGGTGGCAATGAGCCCCCTGTATCAAGTTGTCCACCTGAGGGGAGTGAAAAGGATAGAACACATGGAATTAATCAACGTTTGAGTCCAGGAAGCTCCGGTGGTTAGTGACTATTGACGCTTCTGTGATGCTTTTTTGTGCTATATGATTATGATACTTTCTAATGCACGTGATGTGGCTAAAATGACTTTATATGTGATAGTACTTAATACCTATTTGATGTGGCTAATATGTAGGCATTTATAGGATACAGGTGGGACATAATGTGGGAAAAGAGACCTTTTTGAAATAAAATTTTCATGTACAATTTACTTTATGAATTTATTCTAAATATTAATATTAAACTATCCTATTGGTTTTGAGCTACTTAATATTATGCTCTTTTTTATCTTGCTCAGCATTTTGGTTTTATTTTGTTCTTTGATTAATGAGATTTTGTGTTTTCCCGCACTCTCTTGAGGTTTCACTGTGGATATTGAATCTTTGATATGTAATGATTTTTGGATGTTAGCCTTGATAATATCTGAATTTAAATTGCGATTGGGATTTGAATGTAAACATGTTTTCTCTATTAACTTCTTGAATTATGTCTCCGAATCCGTATATCTTAAAAAAAGTTATCAATAGGACTGTTTTTCAATTTATGTCTATGTTCAAGTAGCAGAGGGGGAGTTTGTTTTAGAGGAAAGTTAGAGATTTATTTTTAGTTCTGCGTTTCTTTAATTGTGTCAACAATCAGCTTTTGTTGAGGATTTAGCTCTGCAGGTTAAATTTCCAACTACTTAAATCTTAGCAAGGGGAAGTAGCCTTAATTCTTAGTTTGCTAGGACTTCTGTCATTAAAAGTTCTAGGGGAGGATGGCAATTAATAGATGTTCCTGAGCCAAGTATTTGTGTCTTTTTTTCCCCACTGATATGTGAAATGTGTTGAGCATTTCTAAAAATGATCTTTTTCATTTTCTTTTCAATTAGACAGTATGTAATAGATAAAATGTTGAAGAGATTGCAATTTTAAAGGATGGCTTATTGCTTCCGTCATTTTAACAAGATTTGTGGCTTTTATCTCTGTCTTCATTTTCCTTCCCCCCCCCCCCCAATTTAATATATCTTAGTAGGAAATGCATACAAAAGGAGGACTTAAATACATCCATGTTTAGCATTTTAGAACTAGTTTCGCACATAAACTTCCCTTGCTTGTTCGTTTTGCTGAGTTATAGTGTTATGGTATCTTGTGAAAATTAATCAGTGAAGATAATTGTTCCACAGTATTGTGTCTTCTATAAGGAATTGAGATATTTAACACATGGCATGAAAATGAAAGATGAAAATAAAATAGGGAGGCTTTTGGAACTTTAAGGAGGAGTGAGAGGTGGCATCCTTTTCGAGGACTCTGTCTGAGATGCGTTATGTGCATTGCTGTGCCATTTATGCCTTAATTTTAATGAAACTAGAGTAAAAAGAAAAAAAAAAGAAACTCAGAAGTTATCATACAGTTCAAGTTATATTAACCCTTGATATTAAACTCCGAATTCTTTTGAGGGAGTTTTGCAAACTTAGAAGCAATTTTTCCAATGCTTGAGCTAAAAAAGGCATGATTTGGAATTGGTTTTCCGGTGATAGTTTTTTACAATAAGCTTAAATGATATTAGTTGGATCAATAAGACAGTTAATTGAAAGCAAACTTATTGTAGGATTTATCTTGAACCATTTCTGATTCCGGAATGTTTTAAATCAAAAATTGGTACTCAATAGATTTGAATGATTACCTACACAATATTCTAAGATTAAATCAAAAAATAAAGGAGATATTCAGAATTGTACTAACTATAGAGGGATTAAACTCATGAGCCACACAATGAAATTGTGGGAGAAAGTAATTGAGCACAGGTTGAGATTGGAGACAAGTATTTCTGAGAATCAATTTGGTTTTATGCCAGGTAGATCAACTACAGAGGCGATTTATCTACTAAGGGGATTAATGGAAAAGTATCGTTGTAAAGATAAAGATCTACACATGGTTTTTATTGATTTGGAAAAAGCTTATGACCGTATATCAAGAGAAGTGCTTTGGAAAGCGTTGGAAAAAAAGGGAGTACGAATTGCTTATATTAAAGCCATACAAGATATGTATGAGGGGGTAAAAACTAGTATAAGAACGCCTAGTGGTCAAACAAAGGATTTTTCTATAAAGATTGGATTACATCAGGGATCATCTCTGAGTCCTTATTTGTTCAACTTGATTTTAAATGTTTTGACGGAACATATTCAAGAGGAAATCCCGAAATGTATGCTCTTCGCGGATGATATAGTTCTTATAGCAGAGACAAGAGAAGAGGTTAATTGCAAACTTGAGTTATGGAGGAGGACATTGGAGTCGAAAGGTTTTCGTCTGAGTAGAAGTAAGACGGAATATTTATATTGTAAATTTGGTAAAGGACTATTTGAAAATAATTTGGAAGTGAAATTGGGAGATCAAATTATACCTCAAGTGGAAAAGTTTAGATATTTGGGAGCCATTATTCAAAATGATGGCGAAATCAGTGGAGATATTTCACATAGAATTCAAGCTGGGTGGTTTAATTGGAGAAAAGCTAAAGGAGTTATTTGTGACCGTAAGGTGCCTAATAAACTTAAAGGAAAGTTTTATCGTACTGCTATCAGACCGGCAATGTTATATAGTAGTGAATGCTGGGCTCTAACGGGACAGCAAGAGCATAAAGTTGGAGTAGCAGAGATGAGAATGTTACGATAGATGTGCGGACATACACGTAAAGATAAAATTCGAAATGAGCACATACGTGAAAAAGTGAGGGTGGCACCTATTGTGGAAAAAATGGTAGAAAATCGGTTGAGATGGTTTGGGCATGTACAAAGAAGACCAAGGGAGGCACCAGTGAGAAGAGTGGAACATATAACTTTGAGTCCGATTAAGAGAGGTAGAGGAAGGCCTAAGAGAACACTCTTGGAAGTTGTTGAACGTGATCTCTTAATTAATAATATTTCTAAAAGCTTAATAAATGATAGAGCACAATGGCGTCTTGCAATCCATGTAGCCGACCCCACCTAGTGGGATAAAGGCTTGTTGTTGTTGTTGTATCTAATTATCCAATTTTTGGAGTTTGTCCAACACCCCTTAATATATGAAACAACAGTCAAGTGGTGTTTCTAATTTTACAATTGTGATTTCTATCTAATAAACATTTTTCATTTTCTTTATATTGTTAACTTTGATTCTGTATTTTTTAAAATGATGAGTATTGGTGTGTATTTATATATTTCAGTCTGAGTCCATGTTCTAATTGTACTCATCGAATGTGAAAAGTCTCAAGCATCTGTTCTGTAACACTTGTTCTAGAGGATAAATTTTGTAAGATCTGACAACACCACCTAAGAGGAAGGGTGGATTGGGTGTTTAGCAAATTTTCAACTTTTAAAAGATTTTTTACAACGCTGAGCTTGATTAACAATGGAAGCAAGAAGTTTGTTAAAATAAGTTTGGTTAAACTTCTAAGGAATCAATTGTAAAGGTTTCAACAAACAATAAATGAAATAGATTTAAATGTCCTTTTGAAGAATTGATTGAAGAGCTTTGACAAGAATGAATAGATACTCAAAACAAGGAAATTGGAAATACTTGTCAAAACAAAGTATTTTGAAATGCAAGGTGAAACAATGATAAATTCGAAGTGCATAAAATGGAGAGATAAGAGTAGAGAGATTGCACAAATCAATTTATTCTTGTTCAATCCATCCACTTGGTTTATATTTAGTCCTCAGAAACCCTATGAGATTTTCTTCACGAAATATTGCAAGTTTAAATTAGGTACTTGTGAATCATTACAATTCCTCACTTAAGGACAGCAAGCACTTGACAACTCTCTGAACTCAATTCAAGGGAACTCTTCCCTTAATTCTCTCAAGAATGATACAAGAGTGATTCCTAATAATTTCTCCCTTTAAGAGATGGTAGGAATGATTGAAGTTCACTTAGATAAACTTTCTCAAATAAGTATCGCAATTATGCCTTCAAACCAGAAATACCAGAGCTTTTTCAAAAATTTATGCAAAGATGATAGAGAACAATTAATGCATCATTGATTCATTACCTACTCACTTAAATGAGATTCTATTTATAGTGTGAGCATGATTATAGCCATTTGGGACCTCAACTAGCTGTTTAGAGATGTTGCCTAGCGTATGTAGAAGTAGAAATTGAGAAAAAAATACTTTATTTGCGAAACTCATTGAATACATATTAGAACACTAAAACATGCATGTTTTAGGTTCATCCTTGCATAGATGAGTAGTATAGAAAGGCTTTAGGAAAGCTTGGTCTAGTATACACATGGAGGCTCACTGAAAACTTGCATGTTTTAAGAAGGTAGAAACACAAGCTTCTTTGGAGTACTGAAATGTGTGGAGGCTATTAGGATCGCATGAGAAATACATGCAAGAAGTGAAAGACCTTTTGAACACTTTGAAAAACATATGATTGAGATTAAGATGAAATAAATTAGTTCAAGTATTCAAGGCTTAGACTTAGGCAAACTTGAGTGTAATGAGGCTGAGTAGGCTCAAGAACTCAAGTTGAACAGTTAGGCTAATACTCATGATGATGAGAACTTAAACTTTTGAGGATAAGAAGTTAAGAACCTTTGTTGATACTGTCATTCTTAAACTCACGTGTTTTAAGTGCTCAGAACCAAGCCCCTTTCTGGCACTCTAAAACTCACGAGCTTAACTTCTTAAGCTTGCGTGTTTGAATAAGGCAGAAACACCTTCTCTGGAGCTCTAAAACTTGTGTGTTTGATAATCACAAAATGAAAGGCATTTTGGAACTCTTAAACTCATAAGTATGTCTCTAAAACTTGGGAGTATGCCATGCAACACACAAAGAACAATCTAAGGTATTCACTCTGGAACACGTGTTTTGAATAGAACTCATGAGGATGAGGTGGTGAACATGAAATGTACTAGGATGTACAAGGATATTGTCCAAGTTTCAAAGCAATATGTATGAGAGCTTAAGACGTGTTTATCAAAATTTTTGTTACCATGTTATGAAAATGCAAGCTTTCTATTAAAACTAGTTTTTAACATAACAACTAAGAGAATAAAAAGAGTAAACTTATTTATATCAAGTCTTTTCTTGTTCTTACTCCTTTGCCCTCTTGGAATGGTGTTGACATTATTGATTATATAATTTGCACAAACAAAACCTTTTCTTGAGTTTTGTTATCATCAAAAAGTATTCAACAAATTTGGCTCTTCATGTTTTTCTCTATGGCCACTTTATGCTGTTGTTTAGTTGTATGAAGCCCGATTAAATTATTAAATGTATTTTTCCCTTATTTCTATTATCTGATTGTTGGTGGTGATATCTGGATGTCCAAATTCAGATACAGGCTCTAGTAGTTCCTCTGATAGTGAAGCTGATGATGCTAAAGCAAGTCAAGCGAACGCATCAGAGGTATGAGTGGGAAATGGAAGTTGTTTATCTCTTATTATTGAATGTCAGCATTTTGGCCCTCTAATTCCCAATGCTGTTTTCTTTTGGGTTCTCTTTGATGATTTTGTGGCAACTTTCACTGCAATTATTTATCTTTGTTCTTCTCCAGGTACCAGAAAATTTGGGGTCTGGACCTCAGTTGGATGAAAAGACCGGGGTTGTTGATACTCTGGAGAGACAACGTGAGTGATTGTTCTTGGCCTGGCCTGCTTGTTTGTCAACTATTTTTTGGTTAAACTATTACTGTTACCATGGAAAATGAATTATGATCAGCTTGCGTGGAGTGTCCAGTACACTCTAATTATTTGACCTTCCTGTGGTGTATGCTTTGTTTTTCTCTTGTGGTGAATTTTATAATTTGTCTTCTGGATTCCTGCTACTAGGCAACGATTCAAACTTAGCATAGACCTTATGGAAATGGCCTGTTGAATTGATGTTGTTTGAAGGCTCTTTCTTTTTTTGGTCAATTGTTTACTCTTCTTGATTACTACAAAGTAGAAGATTGTAGAAACATGTTCTGTTGCTATAGATTCTTGTTGAAACTTTTAGGTTCAAGTTTTGGACTTCTGTTAAATTTTTATTCTTATTTCTTAACGCTGATTGTTTCTTTTAAAATTCAATGTCCTGACTGAAAAATATGATGTCAATATTGTTGTATCAAATGTTAGAATGTAGATATATAAACTACACGCAAGAGAGGAATGGGCACTGTACTGTCAACATTATTGACAAAAAAAAAAGTTATAGAAGTTAGGATATAACTCATATATGAAGTTAAGAGCCACTTTCAACTCAAACTGAAGCTATTGAGTGAAGGAATGCGAGTGGTTTATGTTTACTCGCTACTACACTCTTCACATTAAATAAAGCCATCGAACAGTATTTTTGGGTGAATGATATATATATTAAGAGATTGTTGTTGATAGAGCACAATAACATCAAGGGATCCATGTAACTAGTCTCATTAAGTGGGATAGAGTTTGTTGTTGCTGCAAACTCTTTCACACTGGAGTCTATTGGGCCTGTGGTGTGGAAATAGGACACCCTCTACAAAGTTGGATCTTCTTCATCTGAAATTTCACCTCTTTGTCTTCATTCCAATTTATAGCCGTTGGATTGATTTGAATGGTTACTGTGTTCTTTTCCTCATAAATCAAGGGGATGCAACATCTATTTCCTTTTCAGTTTATGTGGATTACAAATCTATAAAAATTAGAATGGAGACAGAGGGGATTTCAAGTGGAGAGGATCTGAATTTCCCCATATGCTTTATACTGTCATTTCATAATAATTATGAAGAGAGGAGTAGGGCAAAGATTAATATCTTAGCCACTTGTTCATGAAGACTCGATACTTTTGCAAAGGTTGCTTCATTTCAAAAGCTTAAGTGTGTAAAAGCACAGGCTCGTAATCTTGTGCGTGAAACTTATTTTATTGAGAGAATTGAAGGTGACAAGGACCAAACAAGAAGCCTGTGCTTTGTTATGTTCTTATAAAGATGTTGTCTTTGGAAGCACTTGCAAAGCTAATAAGGTGGCATAGAAAAGACAAACGTCTTAGTTACTGCATCTGCATAATTATGACTCTGTTGTTGCATGGTTATAATTTGGGCTATGGCAGTAATGATTTACTATCACTAGCCTTGAGGCCCCTTGCCTATTGTTCTAAATAATTCTATTTGTATTTGCAAGCTGGCTCTATATTCTTTTACAATCAAGATTCTCGGCTATCACACTGGCTTGAATTATTGATCTCTATATATTACAGAATCGCTAAGTAGGTTGGATCAACTTGAAGATAATCCTCAGCAAAAGCAAAGTTCTTTCGACTCAGACTGCTGTCAAGACGGTAAAAGAATATATCCAAGTCCCGGCCATTTATGTTTATATCAAATGCCTACTAATTAGCTTTTGAAAATGTTGTAGGGGACAGCGGTCCAAATGAGAGACAGGTCTCTCCAGGAAAACTCTATCGAGCTGCTCTATTGAAGAATCGGTTTGCTGATACCATCTTGAAAGCCCGAGAAAAAACTCTGGCACAGGTACAATTCAAAATCTGGGCTCCTTAAACTGTTGAACTTATGGCTGATCGGAAAAAAAAAAAAAAAGTGCTAAACTACGCTGCATGTAATCTGGCTGACATCAGGGTGAGAAGGGGGATCCTGAGAAATTGCGCCAGGAAAGGGAAAAACTCGAGATGGAGCGTCAGAAAGGTGAATTGGATGTGATATTAATATGCTTTTTTTTTTTTTAAGGATTACTTCGCCAGTTTAGGCTGTTCGACTTCATATATTAACAAGCCTATCTCCTGACTTAACTTCGATTATCATGGGAGCAGAAAAGGCCCGATTACAAGCAGAAGCAAAGGCTGCTGAAGATGCTCGAAAACAGGCAGAGGCAGAAGCTGCTGCAGAAGCCAGAAGAAAGAGGGAGCTTGAGAGAGAAGCTGCACGCCAAGCATTGCTACAGGTAAATGATCAGCGGATGAGTTGCTGGTACATATGTCCATCCTTTATCTCTGGATTTTATTCTAGCATATATTGGCACCCCTGCAGATTGAGAAGACTGTTGAAATCAATGAGAATTCACGCTTTCTTGAAGACTTGGAAATGCTCAGAGCTGCGCCGGCTGAGCAATTACCTAGCTCGGTAGATGAGACTAGTCCTGATCACTCACAGGACGGCTTGGGTAGTTTCAAGTTTGCGGGCGGAAATCCCTTGGAACAACTAGGATTGTATATGAAAGTGGATGATGAAGACGACGAAGGAGAGCCTCCTAGCGTTCCAAATCCTGTAAATGATGTGGAAGAGGGAGAGATTGATTAAATTATGCTGAACTTGTAATCGTGAAAGAATGTAACAGCATGTTGTCCTAAGAAAGAATATTGGTAAACTAAACTTATCCTAGTCCCAGGCAACCTCTTGAACTATTTAGTTCTTATGATTAATCCATCACAAAAGGGACGAAGCATCTTTTCTTGTGGTAGCATTCAGCCTCTAGGAGACACGACACGATATCGAGTTTCAGCTTCTCAAGACTACGAAAGGGCCGGTGTGATCAGAAACGGGGGTACTTTTTGGCCCCTTCCCATCAGGATGGCAGCTTGCATTAGCTTACTTTTGTGATAGTGGCCTTAACATCTCTTCGTCTAGTCAAATCTGTACAAAATATAGTCCTTTAGATTTTCATGATTATGGACGACTGATAGTAGAAGTAGCTCCATGCATCGTTTCCTCGATATGCTGTGTGCCTGTATTTGTAACTTGTTTGTTGTATTATTGGTACAATTTTGATAGTTTCAGTTTCATTTTCTGAGCACTTGATAGTGGAGTAAGGGCCGACAGAAGGACTAAGATGATCTTTAAACTTAAAAGAGGCCCAGTGAGCTACGGAAGGCCATCAATGTCATTATCATTCAATATCTTGTTTCAAGTATTCGAACTGCGATTAATATCTTATGAGTGAGGATGCGTGATGTATTTATCGTAGTTCCTATTGATTTCTGAAGTACTCTACAAACATTTGAAAAATGAATCATGCAGATCATAATTGATTGATGGTATAAGTGGTAGGGTTATTACGTTATACAAAAATTTCAACTTTAAGATAATACGTTACCCACAAAATCCATCTCAATTTTTTAACATGATTCAATATAGAAACTTATGATGAAATTTCTGTAGCCATTTAAAAATTATGATTTCATTCTAATAATTAAATTTTATACTCTTATATTTCTATATTTTATTAATTATTTGTGATTTTAATATTAAGTTTTTTAAGTAGAATTAAAATTGTGATTTTTTTTATATACTTTGATTCTAAATACATGTAACTAATGCTAATCGGCATGTTGATGATATGATATTGATATTAATATTTTATTATGCGACAAATAAAAATTGAATAACTACGCTTTTTTAATAACATTGTATCATGTTAATCTGAATAATAAATTGAATAACTTTGCATGGTAAATGGCATTGTATGGAAGTTATAATTGTTTAAAAATGTCACCATGACACTCCTTTCATCTCCATATATAAGGTATTTTTAAAAATTTATTTTATCTTTAAATATAAAAAGTGTTATGATGTTTTTAAATAATTAAATAATTTTGCCTTTATCTTGAAAAATGAAGGAGACATTAATTATGTGTTATACCAACCATACGTGACATTATTAGAGACAAAATTGAAAAATCATTTTAATGTTATATTATTTCGACTAAATAACAAACGTTTATTGATGTGTACGATTTGATTAAAAATATCTTATATATAAAGACAAATGAAAGTAGTCTATAAGTAAATGGTATTGGTGTGGTAGTTATGATCGATTAAAAAATGGGTTAATGGTATTGGTATGGTGGAAATTTTTTTGGAAGCAATGTTATCTCAAAATTTTCTAAAATAATGTGATGTTTACTATTCCCTCCGTCAAAAAATATAAGACATTTTTTGAGGAGATGGATGTTTAAAAATGTAAGGTATTTTTAATCTTTTGATGTGTAATCATTACCTTTCCTCTAAAAGTACCCATATTAATAATGATTTTATATTTATTGTAAAGTATTTGATAAGGGTGAATATGAAAAGATAAGGTTAGTTTGAAAGTAGATAACTACTTTATTAAGGGGTGAAATTCGATTAAAAATGCCTTATATTTTTAAAAAGAGAGATTATTAAAGTCAAACTTTGATCGTAGAAAGTTTCACCTGGCTTTTTTCCCCCTTAATTTTCTCTTATTGATTAGGCATTAACCATTGCTTTGCTATGTCATTAATCTCTCCTTCCTCTTCATTCTTCTTTTTCTTCATCGTCTTCTTTAGCTCACGCTTTTTCCTTGCAGATCTTGGTTAGTCTCAATCACATTGCCCTCATAAGAAGCCCTGAAGATCTCCCTTTAAATTATCAGGATCGAGAAACACAATGCTTATGAGAAAACCAGGGTTAATGATCTTCTTCGATGAATCATATGCAGTTTTTAGCACTCCTCCTTGCACAAGCCAAGGAGTGGTTTCTCATGACTATAGAACTTCAAGTTTCAAATCAAGGACAAAACCCTAGCCACCTAATTTTAAATCTTAGAGGTGTTAACTATTCCTCATAGGAGGTCATCCATACCCAAATCTGGTTCCCACTGCACCACCATTGATTTCTAGGTTATTAATTCTTCAAGCTCTTCAATGATTTTTATGGGTTATGGGATAAATTGAGGAATGAGCTTTGTCAAACATGGCGATGGTTGATTTAAGGGAAAGAATAATTTTGATTTTGGGAATCTCGGTCGAAGATGACAAACATTGAGGTTAAACTTGTAAAAGAGTACTAATCAAATAGAAAACATGGACATTTGCGATGGTTTTGGATTTGTTTCAATTCATTTTATTCGATAATCCTAACTTGCAGTGGACAATGGGAACACACACATCTGCTGCATTAGGGGGACACGTTGCTCTAACATAATGATGTTCATGGATTGCTGAGAGGCCTTTTTTTGAAATATAAGAGGCAAGCTAGGCTTGGAAGAAGTTTAGCAAAATAAAACGGAGGTTAAATAAAACATTGATCCCCTAAGTACATAGCAAGACATTCATTAGGAACACAGGGTAGTAAAGTCGTCTCAAGTGGACTTGCTTGACCTATTTTAGCCATATAGTCTGTGCATTGAATAATCTCTCTGTGGGAATGTTGCAATGTGACTCCCTCATTTAGGAAGAGGAAATTCCTGATAAACTCTATGTCATCACGCAATGGGTGATCAAAGGCTTGGTCATAATTCAAAGTATGGATGGCTTCCTTGGAGTCTGAATATATTTTAATCTTTTTGGAGTTTAGTTAGTCGCAAACCTCCAGCCCTACTTTAATGGCTAATATTTCAGCATTTGTACTCTGACAAGGGCCAAGGTTTTTGTGAAAACCTATTACCCACTCGCCTTTGTTGTTCCTGATTACTCCCCCACAGGCAACGTGATGTTGATCTTTGACAAAACTATCGACATTAAGGCGAACATGGCTATTAGTGGGTGGAGTCCAGACGTCCTCCATGGACAAAGTGCTGAGGAAAACCTTGTGAATTAGTTAGTTGTTGATCACTTGTTCTGAACAATAAATCAATGCACTTGTGTATTATCTCATTTGCTTTGGGCCTTTGACCTTCAAACACAAACTTGCAACGAAGGTCCAAAGGCCCCAACAGACCAGACTGAAGACACACGTCTAGGGCCATGATTTAAAGACACCATATCCTGGAGAGTGTGTAGAGTTCCAATTGAGCCAGACCTACAAATCACCAATAAAAAAACTAGAAGTAAAGTTAGGTGATAATATCCCTCTCTAAATTTGTTTCGCTCATTCACAATCTCTCAATAAATGGATTAAACTTTCCTCATAATGACACTCGAAAGGGCCCTCAAAGTTATTTGTGAAACCTCTCAAGGCTCTGAGTGAGTTTGTAGCAACTCTTTCATGGGACACTTGCCACATAAAAAGTTTGATTTTTTCTAAAACCTACCATCTCCATATTCTCACCCAAAAGGGTTCCTATTATTAGCAGAAGGTTAAGTGAGATAATCATAGGCGTTGTTCATTGTAAATTGGCCATCTGTAGATGGTCTCTACCAATACTCATCAGTTCTAAATCTAGTGGGTGGTTTGATAATTTAACAACATTTATGACCCAAGAAGGCAAAAAATTATACCAAGGAGATATATTCCAAAGCCCATCATAAAGAAGCTGGTCATGCACTGTGGCTGCTTGGTTGAGGAGGTTAAGATTTTGTTCAACATAGCATATGAGTAGCTTGGGGAGAGGCATTCAGAGGTCAAGCTAGAAATGAGTGTTTTTGCCACTATTAATTTTCATTCCCGAGCTTGCAAGAATATATCTCAAACCTTACAAATAGATCTCTAAGTAAGCGAAGAGTTTCTTTTTTTCTTCACAGATTCTAGGTGGTGGGGGTTACAATTATATTTAGCCTTTAAGCAGCAAACCCATAAAGTGTTAGGCTTTGTGATAAGATCCAACAAAGCTTGAGAATGAAAGCTTTGTTTTGATTACTTAGAGATCTAATACCAAGACCACCATCTTTTTTCTTATTGATCACTGTATCCCATGCTACCATATGACTACATTTAGCATCTTCATTTTGAGACCAAAGGAAGCTTCTGCTGATTTGTTCAATTCTAGCTAGTGTACCTCTAGGCAATAGAACAAATTGCATCTGGTAACTGGGCATAGCAGATAGAACTGCTTTGATGAGAATAGACAACCCTGTTATGCTTAGGTATTTGCTTTTCTAACTAGATAGGCAGTTGCTAACTTTTGATCTAAGGGGTTGAAGGTGGCTTTAGTGACTTTTTTGTGGATGATGGGGACACTAAGGTACTTTCCCAAGTTCATGCAAGTCCAATCCTTAAGGATTGACTGAGTTGTAGGGCATGATTAAAACCGACATTACGAGAAGCAAAGACTTTAGATTTATCCAGATTTACTCTATGACAAGAAGCAAGGCAAATTTGTAACAGACCTGATTTTTACCATAATTTTTTTTTACAAAAGAAAACCTCCCCCCTTTATTTTTATAAATAAATATTTTTTAAAAAATGTGCCTGTCCAAACAAAGTGATATCAAGATTAACAATTACCACTGGGTTTAGCGCAGATGAGGCCCAATAAATGATTTACAGCAAGTCCAGGGTTTGATAATAATTTATAGATATAATCAACTATGCTAAACACACATTTTTCTTATACCATTAATATGTACAATCCAAAATAAATAGGCTTGGCCTAATAGAAAACCATAGTCTAGATTGACATGTTTAAAAGTTATCCAGCTCAAACAAAAAGATTGAGTAGTTATAATCGAATAACCTATAACAATTATCTAAAATAAAATTTATAAGGGTCCTTAGGTCATGGTAACTATAATTACAAAATAAATAAAAAACTACATGCCAAGTCGAGAGAAGGGAGCCTAAGCTCACTTCTTCAGTACCTTCCCTATAACTTCACTTAACTACTCACCTAAAAATGATAACAAGTAACATGTAAGATTAAAAATCCTAATAACAGTTGGTTATTCTAATATATACCAACATATTTCTTGAAATCAGTTCACAAACATATCTATAGATATACACATGCATTTCATAATCAATACACAAAACAAGAAATGCAATATTCATAATTTTATAATAATTTCTCAATCAATGTCAAACTAAAACAATAATGGTACATTTTCCAACCTCACCCTTATGGCTCCCAACTCCCTATTACCGCTAGCTGGAGCCTAAATTGAGGTTATACCCGGTTAAAGGTACATTGCCATTAGAATAGGACTCCATTTCTTAAAAAAGGGGTGCCTATCATCTCAAAATGTCAAAGACATTGGGAACTACAAGAAAAAGCCCAACCACTATGCGCGTAGTAAAGGCAAACCACGCGATATAATATTCAATCATCAATCCCAAACAAACAATCATATTACTAGCCATCTTTATTACCTCTTTTGCATCACATAAAACAAATGTCACATTTTACAATAAAATCACACAAGTATTAATATATATGTAGACAATACTAAAAACCAGTATCTCAATATATGAAAGAATATTCCAATGTTACCTCTTCTTCAAGCTATAACTAACTCAGACTTGTAAGGAACTTCTTAACCATGATAATAATTAATCTACGACATTGAATAATATAAATACCATTAGAGATAATATATATATATTGTAATTTATCAATTAAATATAAAATTCAACTAAACTTCTCAATTTACAATCATATCCTTCCAATCTAAATCCCTCTGATAAAAACCCAAAATTAAATTAAATTAACTTATTTAAATCCTAAAAGCATAATTTAATAATATAGAGATATCTTATACATCAAAAATCACAAATTTTATAGGGAAAAACTTAATTTTAAACTCTTAAATCAGTTAATAAAACAAATCTAAACTGATAAAATTTAAGTACTAATTTATCTCTATTAATTAATAGTTTTCGTTATTAAAAGTTAATACTTATTCTAAGTTTAAACTTAAAAATTGCTTTACGAGCAAATTTTTACTATTATTCGAAAGCTTTGGATGAGGAGGAAAATATTTATAAAAGAAGTTTTTAGAATAGAAATAGGTTAAGCAGAAAATCTTATTTCAAAAGCCTTCAAGCCCTTATCCTTCTCCTGCGCTCTCGTCTCGCTCTCTCTCGCTCTCTCTCTCGCATTGGTGCGGGAAAAGAGATATGAGAGAGCAAAGCCAAGAATATAGATGTAGGGCCTTAATTTTCACCGCCTCTTCTTCTTATTCTCTCTCTTTTTTTAACTTCAATATACTTCCTTATTAAGTCTTCTCTTTATTATATATATATATATAATCACTTATCATTATATTTCCAATTTCTAAAAGTAAAACTTAACATGAAATTATATCCTAAGTTAAACAAAATCTCCTAATTAATTTATTTATCTTCAAACATTCTTTCTATTTTTATTAATTCTAATTAACTCTAAAAATTAAAGTAGAATGTTACAGAAATTGTGCACACATGTCATATTTCTTCCATTTGGTCAATTGATGATGCTTCTGTGAACAAGATAAGGTCATCAGCAAAGAAAAGATATGAGATTTCGGGGCCATTCCAAGTGAATCTAAATGGATTCTAATTTTTTGATTCACATTCAACTTTAATAGAATGTCCAAGCCTCTCCATGCATAAAACAAAGATATAGGGGCTAAGAGGGTCACCTTGTCAGGCTAAGAGAGTCACCTTGTCGAACGCCTCTTGATGGCCTAAACTCTTCACTTTATTCACCATTCCAAAGGATACAAATTATTATTGAATTGATACATGTCATAATAAGGTGGATGAGGTTCTATTCAAGGCTAATGCAATTTAGTGTATCTTCTATGAAAAGCCAGTCAAGTCTATCAAAAGCTTTTTTCATGTTCACTTTTACAGCAACAAACCTTTCCCTCTTGGTGCATCGCATGAAATGGATGACTTCTTGAGCTATTATAATGTTATCACAACTAGATCGCCCTGTGATGAGCTAGCTACATTGCTCTTGCCCAATCGATTCATCCATAGCACTCTTAAGCCTGTTTTGCCAATAGTTTTTGTGACGATTTTGAAACTCACATTACAAAGGGAGATGGGCTTGAGTCCTTAAAAGAAGAGGGGGCTTGTAACATTTAGGAACAAGACAAACAATGTTGGTCTTGTTGATACTAGGACTTGAGAAGGGTCGACAACAATACTTTGACAACTTACCAATAGAATTGTTCCGATTGTGTTCATTGAGTTGAAAAAGGGGGCTTGATTGTAACACACCAAATTTTTTTTTTTAAATAATTTAACTCAACCATAGTTGGGTTACAGCCACCCAACACATTTTTATATCAATAATTTTGATATAAAATATTTTATAATTGGCTTCAACTCACACACTATAACATTTCAGATAAATTTTTACCTCCCACATGCCATTAGGCTAAATCACATTTGTCCATCCTTATACTCCCAACAAGTAAACTAAATCACATTTGTCCATCCTTATACTCCCAACAAGTAAAATAAGCAATTTAATCAATTTTCAACACAAGCCAGTTATTTGACCTTATAATCATGCCATTTTAACCAATCCAAAGTAAACCAAATATTAAAATTACAGTCATCCAAATTGTACCAAAAATAGAAATAGTTTGAAAGGCATGATTACATTTATATATTCATATAATTGACAATAAACTAAAAAAAAGTCCTAATATTGGCAATATAACACATTATAAATCATAAATTAAATACCCAAAAGAGACAGTGGATCTATACCACTAAGCCTCTGGGACTCCTCCACGTGTCACTCGTGGCTCTTCTCCTGAAAATTGTTAACCACATAATGAGACTCAAAAGTCCCAGTAACCAAAGCCAATTTATGATAGTGTATACAAACAGTTAAGTGTGTGCTTACTAAGTGAGAATTAAAAATAATATAATTCCAACAAATATAAGAAATATTATAATAAACACAAACAACCATCCTTATATCCCTCCATTAACCTCGAGCCGTAGCCCTCACTCGGTGCTAAATTACCCGGCCAAGGTAGATTAGCCCGAGCCCTTACAAACCACCTATTGAGCTCCAATAGGGGCGTACCACGTGGCACATAAATACAACAATAATAGCAAGTCTCCCAACACCTCCCACAATAATTAAACAAATTCATAATAATATTGCACAATTATACAATATTACAAAATTCATAATTTCTCAATAATCACCCAATTAACAAGAAGTAACACTAATCATAAATTAAAAGCATGGTTACCTTGTGGCTTTTTCAATAAATTATTCCTTAAAATTTCTCTCTCACCACAATCTTCACACAGTAATACAATCTACAAATAACATATTATTTATAAATATTAGTTTCAATTTTTGAAACTAATAAAATAATTCTAATAATAGAATTAAAAATATAACATAATCCATCTCAATCTTAATACAAATCTATAGTTAATACTATTAAGTAAATTTTAAACTCCTCTTTTAATTATCAATAAACATTAATAATCTAAAAATCAAATCTAAACTAATTTCTATATCAAAATTTCTTTTTATTTTATAAATTCGTACCTAAAATACCCAAAAATTAAAAATTGAGTCTCTAGCTTAGAATCATAATCCTATAACCATAATAATTCATTTCTCATCCCAAATAATCATCTAAACCTCAATAAATCAACATATATTTTCAGATCTAGTTTAGAATTTGATCCATAAGCCACAGATTCAAAGATCATCAATAAATTTATACTCTAGAACATTTATTATACTACTGACAACCTCAAAAATCATATTTATTCAACATAAATTCATCCCTCTTCCAGATCTTAAATTTTCTACCACTACAAACTCAGAAACTAAAGAAGAAGGATGACTAAGAAAAATTTTTAGAACACTTACTTAGTCTTGAAAAGCTTAAAATCACACCCTAAATATCCTATTAAAAACTCTTACCTTAAAAATTTAGATATTTCGCACACGGCAACTCGCTTCTCTCCGCCTCAGCTCGCGCGCAGAATGAATGAGAGGAAATGAAGGAAGGTGAGTTTTTATAAAAATTCAGTGGGTCCCACATTTTTTTTTATTATTATTTCTTCTCTCTCTCTTCCCCTTTTTTTTTTTATTATTATTTTATATTACTATTCATGCGGCGCCGAAGCAAATTCGTTTCTCTTTCTTCTTTTTTTTTTTTTTGCATACCTTTTTCCTTTTTTTATTATAATAATAATTTAATAATATTTTTTAATTAATTTTTTTTTTTTAAATTATTTTTTTAAATTTTTTTTTTTTAGAATTATATCCTAAATTAGATTAATAATCATTTCTACTAATTTTCTACCTCTAATATTATTTTTTTTTTTTTAAAATTTCTATTAACCCAAATTAACTATTAAAATTTAAATTGGGATGTTACAATTCTCCCCTCCTTTTAGAAATTTTGTCCTCAAAATTTAAAATTAATAACTATTAACTACTCACTTAATCAAAAAGACGAGGATAATCACGTCGCATACTGTCCTCGGTCTCCCACGTAGCATCACCTGGAGTTGTGCTCTTCCAGATTACTTTAACCAATCTAATGGTCTTGTTTCTTAATTGCTTGTCCTTATAATCCACAATCCTTTCTGGTTCAGCTTTGAATGTTAAATTCTCCCTGAGTTCAATTTCCTCGGGTTCAATTATATGGGAAGGATCTGGTTGATACTTTTTCAGTTGTGACACATGGAATACGTTGTGTATTCCAGCAATTTGGGGTGGTAATGCTACTTGGTACGCTACTGGTCCAACTCGTTTTAAGATCTCAAAAGGCCCCATAAACCTTGGTGTCAACTTCTTAGCCTTAATAGCTCTTCCAACACCAGTTACTGGAGAGATTTTCAAAAATACATGGTCACCTACTTCAAACTCAAGCGGTCTTCTCCTCTTATCCGCATAACTCTTTTGTCTACTTTGAGCTGTGAGTAATTTTTGCTTGATTAAAGCAATCTTTTGGGTAGTCTCATCAACAATGTCTGGCCCCAAAAAGTTCTCTCACTTAATTCTGTCCAACACAGTGGCGATCTACATTTTCTTCCATACAATGCCTCATAAGGTGCCATCTGAATGCTAGAATGAAAACTATTATTGTAGGCAAATTCAGCTAATGGCAAGTGACTATCCCAATTACCTCTAAGCTCAATGGCACACGCTCTTAACATGTCTTCAAGAGTTTGTATGGTTCGTTCCGTTTGCCCATCGGTCTGGGGGTGGTAAGCGGTGCTAAAACTCAGACGAGTACCCATGGCTTCCTGTAATGACTTCCAAAAGTTTGATGTGAATCTCGGATCACGATCAGATACAATATTTGTCGGCACTCCATGCAATCTCACCACTTCTCTTATGTAGATTTCAGTTAATTTTCGAGAGAATACTTGATATTAGTAGCCAGAAAATGAGCTGATTTGGTGAGTCGATCTACGATTACCCATATAGTGTCATGACCAGAAGATGTTCTAGGCAATCCTGTAATGAAGTCCATAGAAATGCTGTCCCATTTCCACTCTGGAATATCAAGAGACTGTAGCATCCCGGCTGGTTTCTGATGCTCAATTTTGACTTTCTGACAAGTCAAACAACGAGTTACATGTTCAGTTACATCTCTCTTCATCCTTGGCCACCACCAACCACGTCTTAAGTCATGATACATCTTAGTTGCTCCTGGGTGAATGGTATATTTACTCTGATGAGCCTCCTCAAGTAGATATTTTTCAATCGAGTATCATTAGGCACACACACTCTACCTTTATATCTTACGACATCATCATCGGTCACATCAAAATGTTCAGCCTTTCCAGCCCCAATCTCTACCCTAATCTTATTCAAATAATCATCCTTCTGTTGCGCAATTCTAATTTCTTCCCAAAAATTATTCTCAAATTCAGTAATATGTAGAGCAGCCAAACGATTTTCGACTACTTCTACATTTACTGCATGAAAACTACTCCATAATTCATGTTCTCTGACCATCATGTGAGCAGTATGTACAAGCTTCCTGCTCAGAGCGTCGGCGACTACGTTAGCTTTTCCTGGATGATACTTCAACTCAAAGTCATAATCCTTCAAAAACTCAATCCATCTGCGCTGTGTCTCATGTTGAGCTCCTTTTGATCAAACAAATATTTTAAACTTTTATGATCACTGAAGACCTCAAAAGAAGAACCATAAAGATAGTGCCTCCAAATCTTCAAGGCAAATACCACAGCAGCAAGCTCCAAGTCATGAGTAGGGTAATTTTCCTCATGAGGTCTCAACTGTCGAGAGGCATAAGCCACTACTCGATCCTCCTGCATCAATACACAACCTAAACCTTTCTTAGAAGCATCAGTATATAAGGTATAAGGAGCAGTTGGAACAGGTAAGGTGAGCACCGGTGTGGTGGTCAACCTCTTTTTCAGCTCCTGGAAGGCAACTTCACACTCGTTCGTCCAAATAAATGGAGCATCTTTCCTGGTCAACTTAGTCAAGGGCATTGCAATTTGTGAAAAACCCTTAATGAAACGACGATAGTAGCCTGCAAGACCCAAGAAACTCCTAATCTCTGTCACACTTCGAGGTTGCTCCCATTTCATCACTGCATCTATCTTACTAGGGTCCACTGCTACCCCTTCTTCTGAAACAACATGGCCTAAGAATTTAACTTCTTTAAGCCAAAAATCACATTTGCTCAACTTGGCATAGAGCTTGTGCTCTCTTAATATCTCCAAAACAATTTTAAGATGTCTAGCATGGTCCACCTCATCTCGAGAATAAATAAGTATGTCATCAATAAAGACTACAACAAATTCATCGAGATAAGGCCTGAAGATTCGATTCATATAATCCATGAAGACAGCTGGGGCATTTGTTAACCCAAACGGCATCACTAGGAACTCATAGTGCCCATATCTAGTCCTAAAAGCAGTTTTAGGGATATCCTCTGCTCTAACCCTCAATTGATGATACCCTGATCTTAGATCAATCTTAGAAAACACTGCTGAATTGACTAATTGGTCTAACAAATCATCAATTCGAGGTAAGGGTACTTGTTCTTGATGGTTACCTTATTCAATTGTCTATAATCAATACACAATCTAAGGCTTCCATCTTTCTTTTTCACAAACAGTACCGGTGACCCCATGGTGATACACTCGGTCTGATAAACCCCTTCTCTAACAACTCTTCAATTTGTCTCTTCAACTCAGCTAACTCCGATGGAGACATCCTATAGGGTGCCTTAGAAATAGGCCCCGTACCAGGTACGAGTTCAATCGAGAACTCAACCTCTCGTTCTGGAGGCAAACCGATCACTTCAGTAGGAAAGACGTCAGGGAATTCTCTCACTACTGGAATCTGATCTACACCTTCTTCAATCTCTGCCTTGATTGAGAAGAAAATCATAAAAGCTTGACAGCCCTTCTTATACACTGTTCTACTTGAGCTGCAGACAACAACATAGGACTTTGGGACTCTACAGGGGTTACAGTAAGAGCTGAGAGTGACACACTCTTTTTCTGACAATCAAGTACAGCTCCATTTGCAGACAACCAATCCATCCCCACAATAACATCAATCCCAGACAAAGACAAAAATGAGGTCTATGGTGGTCTTTCGACCCTCATACTCAACCTCTACATTTAGACATGCCTTAGCAGTCCTTACAGTCAAACCAGCAGGAGTAGAAATCTTCACATCAAAAGGTAAGGTACACACAGGGCAATTTCATCTTTTCATACATTCATCAGACACAAAAGAGTGTGTAGCACCCGAATCAAACAAAGCACAAACATCATTATCAAGGATTCGGATTATACCTCGGATAGCATTAGGGTTGTTAGCAGCCTCTGGCCCAGAGAGGGCATACACTCGTGCTGGTACTGTAGGTCTCTGATCATTACCCCTATTTTGGTTTTGATAGCAGAATCTAGCAATATGACCAGGCTTCTGACAGATGTAACAAACCCAACAATCACCAGAATGAAACTTCCCACACTTACTGCATGCTTGATTACTAGCAGCACTAGGAGTAGGATTAAAGGTAGCTGGGCTCCTATAGGACCCTTGACTTCCACTCTGATTCCCTCTGTAGCTCTGGCCCTTATGATAGTAGCCCTTCTTCTTCTGATTTCTAAAACCTCCAAAGATTTGACTGCTCCTCTTCTCTACTCCACCAATGGGTCGGGTGTGGATAGGGGGCTTCCCATGAGGTTCTTTCCTCCTCTCTCTATCAGCTTCTAATCTAGCCTCTCTCTTCCTCCGAGAAACTATTCGAAGCTTATTGCACATCTCACTGAATGTCTTGATCTCAAAAGGGGCTAACTGTTCCCTTAGATCAGGCCTCGCCTTCTCTAGTAATCGTTCAGCCATCCACTCCGTGTCTTCATGTTTCTGGAGGTAAGTAGAGTATTTAGATAATTCTGAGAATTGTTCAATAAATTCATCCTCATCTAAATCACCCTGACGGAATGCATGAAACTCAGCCTCCTTTTCTGCTCTCAGTGCAGTAGGAAAATAATTCTCGAACAATATGGCTTTAAAATCTTCCCAAGTAAGAGAGGAATCATCCTTCGGTCCTGATGTTTCCCACCATTTCTTAGCACTCTTCTGTAGTAGGAATATTGCCAGCTGCACCTTTTGATTAGAAGTGCACACAACCATACGAAAAATACTCTCCAATTGATCTATCCATTCTTCAACTACCGCGGCTTAAGATTTCCATCGAAAGTAGGAGGATTAAACTTACGAAAAGTACTCCAGATCTTTGTGATCGTGGATGTCTGTTGCTCAGAGTGGAGACTCACATTCTTCGGACTAGTCTCATGGTGAGAATAGGGAGGTAAGCCTTCATCAGCAGATTGGCTCGCATTGAATACCTTGGTATGGCTTCCTTCTTGTTGGCCATTTCCCTCTCGGTTGTCATTCTCCTTATATTGTCTTAAAGCGGCCAACTCTTCTTCTTGTCTCTTCATGCGGTCACTAAGATTATATAGTAGATCCATCATTTGCCTCATAGTTGGCTCATCCTGCCTTAGTTGTGACTGTATGGCTCGCCCTGCCCAATTTGTTGCTGTGTGGGCTCCGGTTGTGGCAGTGAAGGTATGTCATTTCCTATTGGCTCTATAGAATCACCGTAATTTCGCCACCTCTCCTAGTTTTGGACACCATCTCTCCCCTCCTAAAGGATGGAAGTCACATAATTAAATTAACACTAATCTCAAGACAAGAAAAAATAATGGAGAAGTATTATGATTTACTAATGTATATTGCCAATAAACTAGGTTAATGTATAACAATTTCATAATTATAAGAATTTGAAACATGTAGCTCTGATACCAAAATTTGTAACACACCAAATTTTTTTTTTAAATAATTTAACTCAACCATAGTTGGGTTACAGCCACCCAACACATTTTTATATCAATAATTTGATATAAAATATTTTATAATTGGCTTCAACTCACACACTATAACATTCAGATAAATTTTACCTCCCACATGCCATTAGGCTAAATCACATTTGTCCATCCTTATACTCCCAACAAGTAAACTAAATCACATTTGTCCATCCTTATACTCCCAACAAGTAAAATAAGCAATTTAATCAATTTCAACACAAGCCAGTTATTTGGCCTTATAATCATGCCATTTTAACCAATCCAAAGTAAACCAAATATTAAAAATTACAGTCATCCAAATTGTACAAAAATAGAAATAGTTTGAAAGGCCTGATTACATTTATATATTCATATAATTGACAATAAACAAAAAAGCTCCTAATATTGGCCAATATAACACATTATAAATCATAAATTAAATCCAAAAGAGGACAGTGGATCTATACCACTAAGCCTCTGGGACTCCTCTACGTGTCACTCGTGGCTCTTCTCCTGAAAAAATTGTTAACCACATAATGGAGACTCAAAAGTCCCCAGTAACCAAAGCCAA